TTAAATTGCATACTAAAACATCAGTAGTAACGAAACGGATAATTATTATTTTTGGTGGCCAAGGAAATGGTACCATTTTTATATTCTGGATAATGTAATTGCACACGAAATTTTCATTTAGGAAAACCGAAAAGGATTGGTAAAGAAATCAGAGCAAGCCTAGATTTCCAGTAAAGAGGGCCTCGTGAAAAGCACATCTCAGTCAAACTTGGAAAACTAATTTTGTCCTTTTTAAAAATTTAATTGAATAAAAATATAGGCCGTTTCGAATTTGCGTTTTGTTTTCTGGTCACTGGTCAGATGGCTAATTAGATTAGGTTGTTGACCCTATTATCTTAACCGTCAATTTAGATTACATTAGGGTCTTATCAACGGTTGATAATCCAGTCACGTATTAGTTGCTAATGTGGGACCCACTGACATCGTTTTCTGGAAAATTTAAAATAATAAACAAAAATGTAAAAAATAGGAAAAGGTTAAGCACACGCGCCGTGCACGCATGCGACGAACTCTTTTTAAAATATCATATTCAGACAACAGAGGACACGTGGGGTCCCCTCGAACCACTCCATCTTTTTCACTTATCTTCTTCAGCTTCACGAAATTTACACCACCATCAATTTAGATTTGTTTCCCCTTAAGTATATGGAAATTTTCACATAAGAACAAAAACAAAAAGATGGAAATTTTCATTATTTGTTATAGCAATTTTGTCCACTTACGTATTTTTAACAAATTCATGCTCTTTAGCATATTTCTTAATAAATTCGTCCGTTACTTTGCTTATTTGTTTTTGTGCCAAAGATTTTACTTCACTTAACTCATAGTTTTCTATTTTCTCCAAGGTTTTATTTTTATTCTTTTATTTTTCCTATTTTGGCGGAGCTTGCTCTTGGCATTTCCCACTTTTTCTCAGCATTGTTGGACTCTATTTTGGCCTTGACCAGCCATCATTGTTATACTTTTCGATTAACATTTTAGTTGTTGATAGATACCTAATACATACCTTCGTTTTGTAATACAAATGCATTATATGATTAGTGAAATATATTTTAGCTTCCGGTTTTCCAAATCATACCATATGCACTTATATGACCATTTTACTAATACCTATGACAATTTTACCAAATATATGTTTGTTTTTTTTTCAACATCGATTTCATTACTTAAGTTTCATGATACATCAAAAAGAGGGAAAAATTCAAACCTCTTTGATTACAAGGACAAAACTTAAGAACAATATAAGGTAAAACCAATGTTCTAAAATGCGGGCTAGGCGGGTGCCTAGGCGCGTCCAGGCGCTACGCGGATGCCGGGTGCCCCGATTTTAGATTATTCGGTGATTTATGCGGTTCTTAAAAATACGGATGTTTATGCGGTCTAGACGGACGTTTATGCAGTCTAGGCGGACGATTACGCAGTCTAGGCGGATATTAGGCGGCCATATAAATTTTTTTTTTTAAGAATCACAAATTTTTTATTATATTGTAAAATAAAATTGTTTATCATAATAAATATTTCTTTTTAGCCTCTAAGGATTAAGTCTATTAGTTCAATTCATTTTAAAAATAAATGTAGAC